TAGTTGTTGGTTCACTAGTAGTGGTGTTAATTGGGACCGGTGTAGTGGTAATGTTTGTTGGGAGAGGAGTTGTGATAGTAGTTGGTTCACTAGTAGTAGTGTTATTTGGAACCGGTGTAGTGGTTGGGGCAACAGTAATTGTTGTGTTAATAGATTCGGTAGTAGTTATGTTAGGGGAAACAGTTGTGGTAGTCGTCGTAGGAGCATTAGTTGTAGTGTTGGATGGTATAATGGTTGGGGCATCCGTGTCAGTAGCGTTCGTCGTCTCCGTCGTAATAGTTGTGGGAGCTAAGGTTGTAGTGGTAGTCGTTTCCTCCACAACATCAAAGTTAATTCCAGTAATTTTTGTGAGCCATTCTTGGTAGGAACCAACACGCACGAAACCTGTACATAACAAAATTTATAAAATTTATAAAGGAATAATTATATATAATAGTTATTCCTTTTTTATATAGAATTCGCTAAAGCAGCAAAGTGATTGGTGCTGCAATTTCAGATACTTTACCTATCTTTAATCGGCAAAGGAGGAGACACACAGAATGAGGATATTACCAATTCCTCCTGCGTCCCATCCTCCGCCAAATCCACTTCACCTCCCCATTCTTTCCTTATAAAAAAAGGGTGAGAAGTGGAAAGGGTATAAAACTTGGACTCTGATACACACTCACACGGAATTATTTCTAGTTCACGCTTATATGCTTTAATTAATTTTATCTGGTACACATAAGCTGTTCCTTAGGGAGTTTAAAGTAACATAGATGTTTATATCATTACCTGCAGGCATACCATTTCCGCACGGCCAGGGTCCGGTTCCAAGGAATGAAGTGATACCAACTAATACGGTGGCGTTATTTCTGTCCTCATAAACTAATGGTGCACCTTCGTCGTCCTGTAGAATAGAGTATAGATTATTTGTTACCCTGTCTGGGTAGCACTCGTACGTAGGAGCAACGCACAAGTTTTTATCCTCCAGATCGGTTTAACCTGTTTCCCATGCATTTTATTCCTTCCTTCGTATGCCTACCTTGCTGGTGTAACCCATATCGATATTTAAATAAAAATCAGTCCACTCACAAGACAATGAGATACGGTAGTGTCGGCGTCCTGGCGCGCACACAGTGTGGCGTCGTTGACCAGAGTGCCGTAGATGCGACGGCAGGCGTAGTTGGTGATGCCTTGCAGGTGGAGCCAATGCAGTCTCTCTATCGGCCCTGAAGAACAAGAACATTTGAAATTAAGTATTATGATATGGTTCCATATTACGTGATTGGACAGATGCGGACGATGTACCGTGGAAACAGTGTCTAAGGAAATTTGTTGGACCCGCCGTGAGTCGGTAACTTTGAGAGCAAGATAAAATAATTGAAATGATGAAGACTAATGGTAACAAACCTGTGGAAATTCTCCTTCTGTAGCCGCTGGCTTTTACCACGACTCTGTTGAATTCCATGTTAGCTTGAGATGACGCCTGAATACGTATCGCTTGCACGTTTGCTGTAAGAAAGCAAAATATTTAATACCTTAAGGCGCTAAAATGAACATACAGTTAAATAACATATTTCATTAGCATTAAGACGATTGTGAACTCAGAACTACTAACTCTGCTCTTATACTTACGTGAGAAAGCGACGTCAGGTCTAAGTCGTAAAAGTGCGAGGTTGTTGGGCTGCGCGGTAGGGAACATTGTGTTATAGAGCTCGTGGATGTGGAACTCCCTCGTCTCCGCGACGTACTCGCCGGCATTGCCGATGATGCCGCCGATTCGGACTGTGGCGCTTACAGCACTGCCAAACAAATACATAACTAAGTAGTCGGTCACTAACAATGTTAAATGATAGCATTAAGTTATCGGGTCCTAATCATGCCTACAATTCTGTAATAGTTGCCTCAAAAAAAGCAATACTAGCGCCAAAACTTCACAGTAATTCAATGTAAAATAAACATAAATCCTTTTACTTCACTTACTCGCCAACACAATGCGCGGCAGTGAGTACCCAGCTGCGGTCAATGAGCGCGCCACTGCAAACCCTCGGCCAACCGTATCGCGTGATGATTCGCAGTGTCGCGTGGTGCGGAAACTGGCCTGGCTGCGCGATCCACTCCGAATCCCAACGGGACTCGACTGACCAACAATGTTATATAAGCATGTGCATCCACTAATTGGTATATATTAAATGGTAGAGGAATCCAAAAAGGGCCTTCGACTCTGATAGTATAAACCGCCACTACGTAGATGGGAAGCATAATATGACTTTAAAAGCTCCTCCAGATTTTTTCAGATGTGTTCCGACGATCGGTTTCCGTCCAATGCGTTAATTTAAAAACCCTAATAGTTGGTATACAATTAACTACACTTCACTTGCCTACACGGGCGTAGCCAGCCGTTTATCATGTCTAGGCTAGGTCTAGGGGGCAATTGCGATTAATATAATTTGATTCGTATTAGTTTTTTACTTGGGGATGAGACTCTAGGGAAGTTGAATCTCCTAGCGATAACTATGCTTGCTTATGAATAAAAAAAAATGAGACTTACTTTCTTCACTGATCACATTTTGGTCAAATTCTGGAATGTACTTGGCAGCAACCTAAAAACAAAATTGATAATATCAACATAACATGATCATAAAATCAATTATTACAATAAGATTATGTTATGTACACCTGTGTAAAAATTGTAATCTTTTCCTCTAATTTTTCATTGTAACTATTTCCGAATAAAATCCGTAATCTTATTTCTAGCGCTTAAAGCAGGATTAATGTTATCGTATCGTCATTGAGTAAGACTAGAATGTAATGATGGAAAGTTCGAAGTATGTTTCACTAATTAAACTAATCTATATCACGTTTACAATGGATAAAAAGATTAACGGCCTTTAATTTATTTATAAACTATCATAATCATGATGTATTAGGTGCAAGCTGTCGATTCTCGACTTATGTTAGAAATCGGACGCGTCCCTCCAATGGATTAGTCATGTTTGTGGATCGATTATTTCATATATTAGTATTTAAAAAAAATAGATCACGAATTCGATCCCTTGTTGATAAAATTGGATATTGAGACTGGACGTTAGTCCGCGCGGAATTAAAAAAAAACACGAATAGCCTATGTGTTCTATCTATGCCAAATTTCAGTGAGAATAATAAGCTGTTTTGAAGATACGTAGGAACAAACATCTATCCATCTAAATTTTCGCATTTATAATATTAGTAAGAACGTTATCAGTATTATGACAATATAGTTATAAGCTTGTTAATTTTTTTCAAATTCTAATATCTCATAGTTACATGTTTTTTGTGTAACTCTGATGTCTACGTAAGCCAAAAAAAGTTTTTTGTAGGGTTGGAAAATGAAATTGCTAACAAAACGAAATGAATTAAGAGAAGCGAAGCGACAGATATTTTTGACGAATGCGTCAAATGGATCACATCACATGTCAACTTCCCCGATTAATTAAAGGTGTGAGTGTTTTAATATGTTAGTAAGTTTAATGAATTAATGGACATTTTTATCGGCATTTAGGTGTCACCTAAATTTATAACTTAGCTTTATAGAGAAATCTGTTTTAGAATATATTGTCGGTAAAAGGGGGGAAACGTCTACATTTTAATTCTTCCTGTGGATTTCAACTGACATAACATTATTGTTGTCTTTATTTTGTGAAAGAAAACATGAGGGATGTCAATATGTGTGAATACGAGTGTCTATGCACCAAAACACAGACATCTAGGTCTTAATTCTGGATATATGTGCTAGTTCATTTTATATAAACTAGTTAATCAAGATTAGTGCTCGCATACCTTTGTTGACAAGTGTTTTGACTCGCTTTAATTCCTATGAGCTTATATAGAGGTGCGCACACTACTCGATTTTTAGTTATGCAACTAAATTGTTGAATTGGCCGTGGAGCATTCGACAATCCACACAGTTGTGCGATAGTTTAGTCAAAGGTGTGCTCGCTCTTTGTGTTGTAACTAAATGAAACTTACCAAACCAGTGGCCAAAACAATTAGGATAATGTGCGTTATTCGTAACATATTTCCGTCCACTGAATTAAAATATTTAACTTTGACTTATAAGTAAAAGTTTTATCATATCAGCTACGCAATCTGATATTTAATAGAAATTAAAGTAAATCATAATGATTCATACATTCAGATGTTATCTGCAATAGCTGACAATTATCATTATCAATAAATATGACAATAGTTTGTATCAGGACTTCCTGACTTTAAGTTTTATGAATTTTCCTTTATATAGTTGTCATTTTCCTTCATCGTCTAGCATGAACAACCGACGACAAGCGGCATTAGTTGTCTAAGGTAAACTAAAAGCTAACCTTAGACAACTAAGGCCGCCGGACTAGTTAATACTAGATATAAAATACATGCAAATTGGATCAAGACGTTTTCGTTCTAAAACCGTATATTTGCATATAAAAAATGGAAGTAACTATTTGGAATGAGGTGGGGTATCGAACCAGGACCTGCAGATTGCAAGTCAATTTAACCGATGATCCACTCAGTGATGATCCACACAGTCCTCATTAACTAATTTGTATTCCTTTAATTTCTTCCTTCATTATTTTCGTCAAATTAGTTAAATCATCTATTCAAAATCGTTTATTTAATTTTTTACATTTCGCTTTGTCATTGCTGACATCATATGAGTTGTTATCTATATTCAGGATTAAAGGTATTTTTTTAAGGAAAACTGACGAAAAAATTATTTCTATACTTTTTAAATCTTTTAAGACGGTTACAATTAAATATAATTTAGGCAAAATATTAGCATTGTAAAGATTCATCTTTTTAAAACAAATTTGTGAGATAGATAAAATATTAACTAATATTAATTATATCTTACTAATATTATAAATGCGAAAGTTTAGACGGATAGATGTTTGTTAGCGTTTGTAGTCTAAACCGCTGAACAGATCTCGATGAAAGTTCTCTCGAAGAAATCTAGTAGTTAGTTCTTTAACTATAAGTTTCATTCAAACTTCGTACAAAAATATGTTCTTCCTACGAGACTGGAACGCAAATAGTTAGTTATTATATTTTTTGATGCGTATTTTCGTAATTGTAACAAAAGATAACATCTACCCAATTATTTGGTCATTTTTCGAATAACCTGTCTTATCAGTAGTTAATCATATGAGGAAAATAAACGAGCAGGTTTTTAAATTTAAAAATAAATAATTTTCAGAAAAGAATTCTAATGAATAGTGTTAATCATCTACGCAGATATATTTTGTTTTATTTTTAGACACTTCAACAAAATGCCATTCCATTTTAATTGCTCGTGTTCAGTAGGTTATTGTTTTTTTTTCTTTTAATTTTATTCAAATCTCAACGTTACAGGTTACATGTACTTAATTTAACAATTAGTTACATTGCATAACGTAGGTGCTACGTTTTCCGCAACTCAACTTGCAGCGCATACAAGAACCCTAAAACCCCTTCTATGTTACTGATCAGACCTGGGAGCGATGTCGGCCTACCGAGATATCCTAGCTACAGGGCTACAATATTGCACGGGAAAGTCTGACTACAGAGTTAGAGTCCCGTGCAATATTGTATGATATGGTACAGCTTCATCTTCCTTCATGCACGCTATACTTGTAGAGAACATCACAAATATTTATAACATACAGTTCTTTGTTGACTCACTTAGGTTAGACATGGACAGTGTGTCCTGTCCTTACACTTTGTTACTTTAAAACAAAATTCTACGGTCGAAATCAACATCAAAGCATCTAATCCGCGGTTTTTTTTTATTAACGTATTGTATTATCTATGGTTCAAAGTATGTAAAGATGAGTTAAGGTGATATTCATATGGATAGCAATCGCTAAAGATTATTGTTTAAAGGTCGATCAAATCAAAAAAGACCCTTTTATTTTAAAGACGGGATGTAAAGGGGATACAGATGGGAGGTAAAGGTGAATAAGGTTCCGCTCACCTATATGTATAAGATAATTGTACATATAGGTGAGTGTAATACGATTTCTGTTCGTCCTCTTTTCTATCGATTAAGGTAGGCACCGCATCTGCAAATGCAAAGACATCTATGGCCAACAGTCACTTCCCTGGTTGGTTATCTTCACACAAATGTCTTCGAATATCTTCGCGGATATGTACAGGTGTAAATATGAAAATCGAGAATTTGAAAAATACATTGGTCTAAACAGTAGTAGAGCACTTTAACATCTTTGGGGCGACTTGCCCGGAGCTATACCACTTCCACACAAAAGACAGGTTTGAAGTGGAAGCAATTCCGCGATTCATCTGATGAGTGTGGTGCCGGTAGCCTAATTTTAGTCCCTTTCCCTTTCCACCCTTTTCTTAAAAGGAAACGATGGGAAGATAGACTGGATTTGATAGTGGATGAGACGCATAGGAAGGGGAAATGTCCTCTTTAGGTGCGTCTCCTCTTCCGTCAATTAAGGGTAGGCAACGCATCAGCAATTGCGGATGTTTATGGGCAGCCGTCGCTTTCCATTTCGGTGGATTCAGGTGGCCGCTTGCTGGTTTGCCACCTTATATGTATTATAAAAAAAAATTCTGCGCCACCGACGCTCTTTGATAAGAGGGAGTTATTACTGTATCCATAGATGCTTTATTTACTACGCATGTAGTCGAATACCAAGCGATATTTAAGTACATTATCTAAGATAAATTGATTAAGGTATAAAATTATTTGTCTACTTCCTTAGTAGCCAATTATCAATAAAACCAAAAGCGATACAAATCGGAGGGATTTCCGAAATTTAAGTGTTAATTGGGTTTTATAAAGAGAAGTAAATAAAATGGTTTTCCCCTCGATTTATCTAGATTTGGTAACAATATTCGAGAACAGAATAGTATGGATAGTATTTAAAAAAAAAACTTGTTAACCTATGCGTTCTTCCAGATTATGCTCTACATATATGCCATATTTCATGAATATTCGTTGATCCTTTTAACATACACCTTCTAAGAATCTTCTATCCATCTAAACTTTTAGGTAGGTGGCTGTTATAAAAGATATCTCGTAATGTGTAGATGTAAAGTTTTGATATTTACAGGTTCCTAAAACAATTAATTATGTCCATTAATTTAACAAGTACTTAATGGATGTATTACGTAATCTCTACCTAAGAATCTAAATTTCATCGATAAAGTAGCCTTTATCTGATCCGAAAACAATAAAGCGCTTATACATAAATAGATAGTAGTAGTAGCTTGATTTTAGATAGATAAATTGTATTTTGTTTAACAATATTATTGCGGGACTTATAAGGAAGTATTATATTTATAGATATAATCTTGAGTATGTAATCATGAAACGCAAGGTAAAACCGCCTGCTAGGATAGTTTTGGTGATAAGACTAAATTAGTAATTGCTATTAATATCCTAACAGGCGCAACACATTTTGCTGTCACCGGTTCTATTCTATGTTAAGACTATAGTACCCTATTAATATTTGTTTACATATTATAACATCCTTATCTTTATATCTGTAATGAGATTTTCTAACAATGACTGATTATGATAAGGTTTCTGATTTTTTTTAATTAAATGAAGATATTCAGTTTTCAATGTCCTTTTACATTACCACAAACAACTTATCTTAAAAAACATCCATAACATAAACATTTGCAGTTACAATATAGGTATGTATTAGTTAATTATTAGGCTGGTTTTGATGACGTAAATAGCTAACATCCAGGAAGTGTCTGCGCTGAGACAATGATCCATTTTTCTATACTATATGAGAGGAATGTCAATATTATAACACGTGTTGCAGTGGAAGCTTACTGTAATGTAAAAATACCAAATTAGATAGTGGAAATTTTATATTGTAACTTTTCGTTCTAGAGTAGCTGGAACTTAGTAGAACTCCACTGTGAGTGAGACTTTCATTGATAGGTGTTGGTATCTCTTTTATACTCCTTGACAACACAAAGATAACAATATATATTTGTACAAGTATTACTGCCGTGGAATTCAACGGTTATGTTTACTTTAATTATAAGAGGGCTTATTACGAATATTCGTGGGAACATTTTCGTAACATTATCGACAATTGTACTAGATTTGTGCAGCGCCTACCGGGCGTAAAGTACATCGACAATTTCCATACAAATTTTTCGAGTTCGTTATGAATACGTTCCCGCAACTTTCACACAAGTATTCGTGATAGCCTCTCTGGTATCTTCAATTACAGTTGTATTCTTTTAAATATATCGTACAAGATAATACTTGTATTTATAAGTGATTTATCACAATGTACTAAACTGCATTTTATTTATATCAGTCATTGTATTAATGTAAGAAGCATTGGCCTTTAAATCTATAGTCTTGCCAAGATGTAGCAAGACGTATATGTTGTTTCCATTGGTGAAACATTTATACAAAGTATATGTCATCTCATTTCTTTTTATGGATGATGAGAGAGACAATATGTGAGCTAAGGATCAGAGCATGTACTGTGATCAGTATGAATCAAACGGTGGTGCTGTTATATTGTGTATTCCCGCGCTTTGTAAAATGACGTCTGATCAATTGTCCGCAAAGATGACAGAATATCCTCATCTTGGACATGTATTTTATCATTCAATGAAAATTGAACGAGATGGTATTTGTCAAGTGAGTGTTTTTATACTTTTTAAATTTCTTTTTCTGATGACATTCGATTTAAAAAAAAAATGACGAAATATATTTAATTGTAACGGTAAAATAAATGTTTTACTCTTTTTTTCCAGTGACTTACTGTTAAAGTTTTTCGAAATAAAATCAATAATTACAACATTTATTATATTATCAGTACTACTCCATTTATCCTAACAAAGACTAGATAATTGGGCTTAATTTTATCGTAATTTTTGTTTAAATATACGAAACTTGGCAACAAGTAAACGAAAACAAAAACAAAACAGACAGATTTCTCTTACTAAAAACATGCAGATGACTGGAAGACCTTCTTTTTTGAATTCCGCAAAAATTACGTGGGTACAGTCGCCGTCATACGCAGTGTACGCACGTTAGGACAGTTCTTTGGAAGGATTATCGTTAAACGTTGTAACAATAAAAATTATAGGCATTCAGGAATACACATTATTTTTCATTTAGTTCATTTTCAAGAAGAAACGCAATTAAAGTTTGCTTCGAGATGGCAAGAAAATCACAAACGAAGATAACTGAACATATTTGACTAAAACGTGTATAACAATACGTTATTGGGCAAATCTTAAATAAATATAAATCCAGTATTTAGTATGTGATATAACGTCTAAAATTAAGTGCATTATCTAAGTTTTGAAGGTGCATTTATTAACCTTGAATCTTTTGCGGAATTACCTTGAACTTTTCTATGCATCAAAAGTGACTTTTAAAAACTCTTATAATAAAAGTCATAATCCTTTGTTGCATCTTTATTATTTTCGGGTGGTTTAAAAGTTGTATCAAAGTAAAATTGACTCAGAAGAATGGTGGAGTTATGTGGTAAAAGGAGTGACTACTGGTCTAAGTGCTGGTAAAGTTCAGTTGAAGATGATCCATACATTAACAGGTATAAGAGGAATTAAATCCACGTTTCCTTAATTAAACATGACCATAAGTCTAAAGGACAGAATACCATTCATGGGCCTATTTAGCAAGTCTTTATTAAGTTTGAATCATATAATACAAATGTTTGAAAATGACTTACATACTTATTTTCGAAGCAGTTAATAATTGTGCAAATAAAAACATTGTACTAAGAACCTAATCTCGTCATGTCTTCAAAAAATTGCTACATCATTCAATATAAAAATGCTCTAACGTTCATGATTACGACTTAGTACAATGTTCAAGGTTTTTCATCTTGATATAACGGCGGTTTATTTATTTTTAATTGTGAAAATGATACAACTTATTGTATAACTCAATCTGTGGCACTAATACGATTTTGTCGTCGTCTTGGAATTAACATCTATTTAAATCCACTAATAACACACGAAAATCCTACTAACTAATTACCCTTATTAGTCAGTCGGGACAAAAATCTATTGTATTCTTACAGATAGATGCAGCAACCGGTGAGGAGGAGACGCGAGAGTCCGTGTTGCGACGGTCAGTGCGCTTGTCTCAGGCTCTACGGCACGCAGGGCTGCGGCCCGGGCAGGTAGCAGCTGTCGGTGGTCACAACCATTTAGATCTTCACATACCATTCTATGCTGCCTTGATGAATGGACTTCCGATTGTAGGAGTCGATCCGTTGTTTAAACTTGGTCTGTTTCCCTGTCTCTACAATTATGATCATTTATAATGTCATTTATGGCTATTTGAATTGATTTACTTCATTGTTTTCTCTTTTTCAGATGAAATAATATCGTTATTTAAAATAACTCAACCTCGAATAGCATTTTGTCAAAGCGATTCGTTTGATGTTTACCAAAAAGCGGCGGATAATTTAGGTCTCAATTTGAAGATATTGACATTTGAAGACGGTGAACATTCACTTAAACAGTTCTTAGAGAAAAATCAAGATCTGGAACCGGAGAGTGAATTCGAGTAAGTTAAAAGCATTCAAAACTCTAGTAAAACACAGTGTCACTCTTTCATTCTCGAAAAAAATTGATGCAGACTTTAACGCCTGTATTCATCATGTCTGCACATGTGTGTCCGTCTCGTAATGGAAAAGCGCAATAAAGATTGGACGGCACTATTCTCTACTATACTCTATACATTATAAAAATGTGTTCACCGACAGAGTTGCAGATTTCGATCTGGAGAAGACATACGTATTCCTGACGAGCACAAGTGGCACGACGGGTACGCTTAAGGTCGCTGCTTTCAGACATCGTGTAGTCATGGACAAATTCATATCATTCTCCACTTATATTAAAGGCCCTCAAGTAAAGTAAGTAAAGCTTGCTTTTAAAGTAACGTTAGCTAGCTGTCAGAGAATTTACATAACAATATCGGCCTCAAGTGGAAATACTACTATCGATTTAAATGACATTCTTCATCTTCAGAAATTCGCTGAAACGTGTGGTGTGTTGTAGAATCAATAAATTTGCACTTTATTATAGTAATCATTTCATAATTCTACAGGCAAATGATAGGTCTGAACCTCTCGCCGGTGCAGTGGATATCGGGCATCTTCAATGCGATCACGATGCCCATCATGAATCAGACCAAGTTACAGACCTCCAGGCCGGCTCATATTGACCATATAATCGACATTATTAACAAATATAAGGTAACAATAGATTAACAAAAATTTCGAACGTAAAGCTAGCGCGTTCAGGGGTATGACCAATCCATTAATTAAGGTCGATTTTTAAAAATCATATTGGACTACGAATATTCCATTTCGATAGACCAATAACGGTTGTCAATTTTTTGAGAATCTGTTCTATTAAATAAATTGTTTCTTTTCCAGCCAAATACGATGTTGGCGGGTCCGTCTTTGATTTTATCGCTGACAAGGCATAAACATGATGTAGATCTGAGCTGCTTTAAGAGTATTATTGTAACAGGAGAGAAGATAAACCCTGAAGTTGTTAATGAACTGAGGGTACGTTTTTAGTGATTTTAGCATTTTTGTGTGTGTGGTACGAGATTCGACATGTTATATAAACCCATTTTAAGGCCCTTACATAATATGTGTCTATGATAAAATTCGCTTTTTAAGGTTCATCTTCAAAAAACTACAACAATAATGGAGGCGTATGGTATGACAGAGACTCTAGGACCAGCGTTAATGCCGAACATTTCCGGACCGAATGGAAGTTGCGGCCGACCAACGCCTGATTACATTGTAAAGGTGATCAAGTTTTTTCAATACCTTTTACTAAATGTATATAGTAAGTCAGTAAGTCAGTAATCTTTTCCTTTTTATAAACTTGTGCCTTCGATTGGAATTTTTTTATCGATGTAGTGTCGTAGGTACAAAGGGTCAAAGGTTATCTGTTTGTAACATTCTGATGCTTTAAAAATATAAAGATCTTGAGTTTACTTATTTTTTTGTCATAAGTACTATAACATACATTCTTGTACGATATGTTAGTTTTTTTTAATTATTTCATTTCTATTTTTTTTAGTTAGTTAACCCCGATACCGAAAATGAAATAAAAGAGTCTTTCGTTCCCGGAGAATTATGGGTTAAAGGACTTTGTTTTACGGTAAGTATCAAAGAATAAATCGCGGAATGGTAACCATAAAAAAATTCTTTTTTTTACTAAAAACGTTTAACTATTAAATTACATCTTTCATTTCAAGGAGTATTTGCGAAATCCCGAAGAGACAAAAAAAGTATTTTCAGAGGACGGTTTTATAAAGACTGGTGATCTCATGTACAGAGATGACGAGGACAATTTGTATTTCGTGGAAAGAATCAAGATGCTCATCAAATGTCGGAATGCTCATGTATGTATGTTTAAATTAAATGAACAACAGCGTATTGGACATTAAAAAGTAAGGACGGCTATTTTTTAATGCTATGATTTTTAAAAAATCGATCCTTCTGAAACTAGGACGCCGCGAATGAAGGCGACTGTACGTCTAATTTGTAGTACGACCAAATAAACTTGGTATTTTCTTAATTTTTTTTTATTTAAATGACTTTTTTTATTGCAGATAGTGCCAACAGAGTTAGAGGAGCTGATCATCAAACATCCCGGCGTTGATAAGGTGTGCGTAACCGCAATCCCACATTTGGAAGACGGGCAGCGACCGGTCGCGTTCGTTGTCCGAACACCAGGCTCTAATGTCACCGCGAAAGATGTCAAAGATTTAGTTGCCAGTAAGTTTAATTCCTATGTAAAGAAGTTGTGATAAAATTGTGCGAAAGTAAAAAAATATTAGTAATACTTTTATATGACACACAAAGAAATAATGTCATGTCATGTCATGTCATGTCATATAGAGTTATCTATAGCCAAGTAAGTGATATATTGTTTCTATTTAAGGGCCAGTCCTACTAAATTGTTAATTGTCTGATAACAATCCAACGTGTGAAATATGTGATAAAAACATCGGATTTTGTTACTTACCTGACAATGATTTTTAAGTCATTTTAAGCTATTTAAGCCTCTATCACCCAGTGGTCCTAAAGTAACGTATTTTTATAGGTAAATTGGCAAAGCACAAGGAGTTAACAGGAGGTGTGGCATTTGTAGACAGTTTACCAATGACGTCTACAGGGAAGTTAGCTCGCGGGAACATGAAAGATTTGATCCTGACAGCTGTTAGAGAATAGTTTTTTTAATTAAGTCGTGTTTTATTGAGTGATTGTACTTGCGGTATTGTTTGAAAACACGTGATTAGAAGAAAATGTTATTGTTTATTAAGGACTTAACTATTTTACTTTGTAAGTACATACTTACATACCAGTATTTCTATAGTTTAAGTGGTTGTAGATAATTAAAATTGTTTAGTAGTAGTAGTTTATCATTAGAAGATATTTTTCGTATAATTGATTACTTACTCTTACTGGCCTGCAGTGTTTTTGAGTGTAAAACATAAATTGTAAAGAACTCAATAAATCATTAATTTTAATTGTTTTTTTCATTCAAAAGGTTTACTAGGAAACATTTTATCAATTATTATTTACTAAGTATTTATTCCCATGTAGTATATTTTTTTGGCCCGTTCTAACATTTTGCGTTTTTATTCAGCAATAAAATGGTGGGTGTTTAAGTAACTTTGTGTTGTTATTTTTGCAACATTTATTCTACTCTACACACAAAAATAAATATGGATAACTCGATGGAATACTGCACTTATTAGTTGTTTTTAGCCTTGGCTGCCGCCTTGACCGCTACCCTGACCGCCGCCCTGACCACCGCCCTGAGCTCCAGCGTTCATTCCGATTTCGAAACCACCTGAAACAAAAATGTTTATTCAGATAACTATATAAATTGTAACTCAAAATGTTCTCCACTCAAAAACATAGATGTAAGTTTATTATAGTCGCCCGCAACTTTGTCAGTGCAGAATTAAAACAACGTAAAGCTTAATATTGCCGCATACATCAGTCACGTTAATATCGGTCCAGGCGTTTCAGAGATTTTCAGCAACGCAAATACGAGGACATCACGTTTAAACAATATATTTTTCTATATTACCAGACACTCCAACTTTATTATTTGAATAGACCATAAATTTTCTTACCACCGAAACCTCCGCTACCTCCGATGCTGCCTCCTGCAAATATAAATTGTTTTTTTCTTATTTTGTTTTGTTGTTCTATGTTTAATGTATCTACTTTGACATAATAACTTACTTTCTTGACCACCAGCGCCACCTCCTCCGCCTTGCTGTAATGACTGAAACGAAGTAATGGGATTTGTTTATTGAAATCACAATTTAATATTATAAAGAGTAAAGATTTGTATTTTTGGATGTATTGAAATAACTCAAAAACTACCTGGCCGATTTTAAAAAATCTATCACCATTAGAAAGAAAATTTATCTGTGAGTAACATATTTAAAAAAAAAACCTTTAAAAAGGTGTTATTTGTAATAAATATTTACTTATTCGTACAATCGGAATGTCCGAACTTACATTCTGCTACAGTGCCTATAACGCTCTTAAAAATTGAAAAAGGCCTTTACTGCATTGTAAAATCATTAAGTTGAATCTAATCATCTTCATATGATCTTTTTAATACTAACTTAAATAATTTGTTAAAGTATTAATTGTGTTTAGTCGTCGTCCATCGGATTGTTACTATAAGTTTTGGTTGCAGTGATAATTGTCTTAACTCACATTGTTATCTCTGTATTCTCAAGAGAATATATGGGATGACAATATGTGTAGATACAAGTGTCACTGCAGTCGAAACCAAAAGCAACAATTTTAGTTTGACCGTTTCAGTAAAACAATACAACTTACCTCTCCAATAATCATTACGACTAGTAACAAAATAAAAGTTTTCTTGAACATCCTTGTCTGCAACAGATTTTGATTTCTTTAATGTAAAAAAAGGATAAGATTAAACTTTATGCCACCACAAGTCAACTTTTATATATACTCACTGTGTATATAAAACCAACCACTTAAGAATAAAAGTAAAGTTTAATAAAATTGTATGCAAATCTCATTTATATATACTATTTTGACGTTGCATGAGATTTTTATCTGTAAATAATGATAATGTGCGAATAATCACCCGGGACTAATTTAAACACTGTCATTACTAATAACTACTACATCCTGTCCTTTTTAAAATCAGTCATTTATACAGTTATTTTCATTTTAACATTTCTTGTGATAACAATCTCAAATTATCCATCATTAACAATTATTTCGTAAAGTTAAATTTTGCCATAATTATTTAAACTCATTAGAACACTGTTTTCTCTGCCTACCCTTAAAGTTAAAGGCGTGATTGTAAGTCTTATGCGTGTATGATTTTTAAATGATTTTAACTTTACTTCATTATAGCATTTTGGATCTTCCAAAGACAAAGTAAGTAAGCATTAAAAATTAACTTTATCTTAAAAAGATGTAAACCTTAATTCATAATTATCTAACGTGAAATGTTGATTTGACGTTTATAGAATGGTTTAATTCTACGTGAAACGAAACACATTATTGACAAACTGAACTGAACTGTCAAAAATTATGAAGTAAGACGGGGCGTCGATAGTTGCATTCTGTCCGTAATTTTCAAATTAGAAAATGTAATTATACTAAAACAGATAAACAAATACGATGGACGAACACGAATTCTTCCGACAGACGGTCCAGCATCTTGCCCGCTGTTTATCTTGCTTGAATCCAACACCATGGGAGAAGGTGTGTATTATTACAACATAAGTTGGCTTATTCCTCAATTAATGACGAAATTATTCCGATGACAATGCAGTCGGAAGACGACTATTATTGTTATAAATGTATTTATACAATTCAAGTAATAAAACTATGGACAAAAAGTCAATCTATGTGGATAATGTTTTGTTTTGATTATGATCTCATCTGTGACATAAGTCCTCACAATCCGCTTTTTAAAGACTTATTTAAAAAATGGCTAAGAAATTATGATCTTGATCTTAAAGCCATATTTTTTTAAATAGTTTCTCAATTGATTCCTTGCCAATGTCATCTTTAAATAATAAATTAATCAACTTTCATAAATCCATTAGGGGTTTTGTAGTTATTATAACTATATATGTCTAATATTCATAGGTCCTGAATTGGTCCTTAGTCTACAACAAAAAAAGGCTGCTGTGTTAGACTAGATAGTTTCAAATATCTTCTGTATTTATGTAATACAGTGTCTAGTTTATAGAATTATATTTTATTAAATGTATGTTAATGTGGACAATATAAGTGCCACTTTGCTTGTATGTAGTGTATAATCATAAATATAACTTGCAATGGTTTAATTGCAATAAATGTAATTTGTTGGAAAAATGACAAACATAATTTAACAATAGGTTTCCACTGCAGGAACATTTAGAAACATTGTTATCCTTTTAATTTTCTTTTAGAAATCTGAAATAGCAATATGTTTTTGTACAAGTATTTTGGCAGTGTGAACTCACTGCAAAATAAGACTTATTATTTCACTGACAATAGTGAGAAACCTTGCAAGTGCATGACAATAATAATTTAACACATACTTATGTATTTAAAGATTATCAAGAGGCATTGGTATACTTGTTTTAACCCATTGTCATTTGTATTGTTATGAAGCATGAATCTAAGAATTATAAGAACATATAATCTCATTATATGTCCAGCAGTATGCAGACAAAGGCTGATGATGATGATGGTGATGATGATGATCTCATTATTCACATAGACAAACCTTTAAATAATTTACAGTTTACTTTTCTATCAATTGTATTTATTGAAACAACATATTCTTTACTAACTTTACTAGTCTCTTAGGATAGACTAGAAAGCTACACTAAGAAAGTCCTTGATGATTCCAGCTGTGAGTGTGATAGTAAAAATCCACACAGATTAAAAACCTATCCAATTGTTTGATTATGGTGGGGTGTTAAGCTCAAATTACATTATACTAAAACAGTCAGTTAATGGAACAACAGGCAGATAAAAAGTCTGTAATTTGTGAGGTCTCTTATTGAACTACGTTTTTATTTCATTTTATTTTCAGGTGAACACACTATTCATGCTGTGCCCACAAGCAAGTGCCAATCTACTAGTAACATCTCGCAGTCAAGAGGCAACCATTGCACTCGGCTTATACTTTCTGCAGAGTGGGCTACAACATCAGGATAAACTGCTACCATACTTCCTGAAGATCCTTAAGTGTCTAACTAATGCACAATATGAAGAACCATTGTGCAGAATTAAGTTTGCTGACCGTAAGTTTTAGACACTTTTACTTTGGGTAGAACTAGATACTGCTTGTGACTTTGTTCACATGAAATTAAAAAATAATAAAAAATATCGCCTTTGTTACCCACAGATAAGTTACCCTTCTAACAGTAAAAGAATTTTTAATTATTGACACAGTAGTTTTTGAGTTATTCCAAGACATACAAAAATACAAATCTTTCCTCTTTATAATATTACTATACATGAAAACGAGTAGATTGATATAAATAAGGTTACTACTAAATTCGTGTTCCTTTTTTTTCAGGTATACCAATGGCAGAAAAATTTAGTTTCTGCCTTAATACATTACTTTCCGATGTCGCTTCAAAGCAGGCTTCTCTTCGCGAAGAGATCATCACAGCACAAATAGAATTAATGTCCAACCTCACTAAAATCATAATCAGTTGTCACGAAACCAAGGATTATCAGAACACAGTGTCTAAGCTTCAACTCTGCAAGAGTACCATACCAACACTGATTGGTTTAGCCCGATCTATGGGCAGATATGCGACTGTGGACCCACCCTTACTTTGCAGACTGTTCCCTCAACCACCAAGTCCAGTAAAATCTAAAGAACCTGAACCTAACTTCGAGTATTCCACATTAGATAAGAAAAGGAAATTTAATCAATTCAGACCGATCATACCAAGGTCTTTATCTGGCAATTTGAATCCAAACAATGAAGGTATTATGGAAAATGGTACGGACGCATCTGATAGTACTGGTGGCACATTGAAACGTGGTTCTTTACATAGCTATAGCTCAGTACCATATGATCCTACAACTTACTTCTTTCATAAGTTTGGTTCGAGCTTCAACCAGTTCCCTTATATGAGGTTTTCTGAATCACCGGAGAAGAGAATCAATGTTCAATTCTATGTGACTTATCTACAATCGATTCTGTCACTTGCTAAGAAGCTGTTGACCAAAGATTTATTGGCGTTTTTGGATGAAGAAGCTGAGGATATTCATGCATCTGGACAAATTCAGGTAAACATGCTTTTCTCAATTAAATTAATATCTAGAATTATACAGCTTTAAATTTGAAGTAAATAAAGAGCATAAAATGTTTTCAGGTGTTTCCATATAAATCTTTTTCTGAAACACTAAATTTGGTCATGGTGACATTGCTAAGGGAGATTTTACAACATCAGAAAGACTTACCAGGCCCATTTACCAAAGATGTCCAGGTAAATATTGCATAGAATACATTTATGTTCCTTATAGTTAATCTAGTATTCTAATAGTGAAAGAATTTTTGAAATTGGTCCAGTAATTTTTAAGTTTATTCATCACTAGCGATTCCCTCCAGCTTCGCCTGTGGCAAAAAACATGTTTCATATCTTTTCTGTCATACCCTTCCTTTCTTATAAAATATAGCATATTAGCTTTCGCCCGACTCTGTCCGCCGTCAAAAAACCAAAAGTTAGTAGCCTATGTGTTCTTCCAGACTATGCACTACGTCTGCCAAATTTCATCGAGATTCGTTCAGCTGTTTAGGCTACAAACTCTAATATCCATCCATCCATCTATTTAATATTAGTAAGATTATATTCAGAGATTCTAATGGTAAATTTTATTTGATTATTGGTCTGTGCCAGTGCAGTGATTTGATAATTTACTATTACTGTTTTGTATAGGAATTCGTGAAATGTTTATTCCTGAGTGGTCAAACTGAGCTACAGAGTCGACACCACGATGCTTCAGAGAAAGAAGACCGAGAGACGAACTTCGCGACCGTGAATAAGTTTAAAGTAAATGTGATGGCTAACTCCGCTTGTGTCGACTTACTCGTCTGGGCTATAGGAGATGAAACAGGTATATTATGAAATTATTTTTTTAATAATTAACATTTGTATACAAATAAGATGTTTTCAATATATTTGGTTTGATTTATACAAATGAAATAAGTGAAAGCACTCGAGAAATTTATTTTTCTGAATTAATTATTTATTATTTTTATTTTGATGTCTATTATCTGTTATTTTAAAATGAAAATCAATGAGCACCTAATGCGTGCCTGCTATCTTTAAAGATGTAACTATTATAATTGCTTTAAAATATTATTTTCCTTCTATATCTATGATTTCTTTATTCTATCTTCTTTTTCTTGTATTTAACTTAGCAGTTATTTTTCCTATTGCAATATTTTGATTGGATTCTCAACTTCAGTGTGTGAGTATATTCTTATGTGGTTTTGATTTGCTATACTTTTAGAATTTATTTATGTTTATTATATTTTATTTTTTCATATTAATATATTGTCTTCATGACCTTCACAGATATTTTAGATATATATGTATACTTATGTATTTATTTATATTAAATTATAATTTTACAGTGGATGAGGACTATGATGTACCAGCACTTTTAAACGCTCTAACTATATTAATAGGTATATGAATTAGGTTTGAGTTGCCCCGCTGACTAACATGTCATGTTCATATGTTGGCCGAATAACAATGAACCTTATTGTAAATGTAATACAGTTAATTTTACTATGACAATTGAATGAAAGGATATTGTTTGTCTCTTTTTTTACTAAATGATTGAGAGGGATGCAATGCCTTGTAAAGAAACATAAGGCTGTCTAGTTGCATGGATTGAAAGAATATTTTATGTCTTACATTATGTATTGTTTACATAATTTTCAGTTTAGTGTGTTATTTAGTATAGGTTTGTTTTAAATCATGTTACTAATTTAGTGTTTTGTAGTTTTAAAATTTGAAACAGACACATTTATATACAGAAATCAAGCTAATTCATGTGTGTGAACATTTTAGATTTAAAAATTTGTTTTTTATTTTCTTTTTTTTTAATGTAGGGTGATAAATAAGCAAGTTAAATAAATTTTGTTTAATTTTATAGGTGCGGATTCTCTTTGCGGTCGTTTAACTGAGAAGATAAATTCAAATCATAACCATAAGTTGATATTAGCTCATATGCCGTTACTGATGGTGTGTTTAGAGGTAAGTAATCTTACTTCTTACTAATATTATAAATGCGAAAGTTTAGATGGATGGATGTTTGTTAGCGTTTGTAGCCTAAACGGCTGAACGGATCTCCATGAAATTTGGCACAGGTTTAGAGCATAGTCTGGAAGAACACATAAGCTACTTTTTATCCTTGGAATAGTTACGGTTCCCGTGGGATTCATTAATTTAGTTTTTTAATGTTTACTCGATCATTCTGCAACGGTTCAATATACCTTAATGAAATTTGGCACAGATATAAAACAAAATCTGGAGTACACATGGGATAAGCTTCATCCCCGAGAATTGTTCGCTTGCCGAGGGATACGTAGCTTTTTGTAATTTATATAGTTTGTATGTTTTCTAATATCACGCAGACGAAGTCGCGGGCAACAGCTCGTACATAATAATTGTTTAAGGGTTTTAACGAGTTTCCACTGCCAAAACGTGTTCAAAAACATTATTATTATTATTTTGTCAACAACAAAGAATAATAGAGAATATGTTTAAAAAAAGTAACCGATGCTCAGCAATTATTACATTAATGTGCCTTTGTACTGCAAAATATTTGCACAGAACTGTTTATATTCGCAATAACTTAGAAAATCTGATTAGAAATATAAAACTATTTTAAAAGTGATATAATTTAAAAGCATATTCAAGTGCTTTGAGGATTACTATATCCTTGTTTAGTCTATACAAGTTTCATGGTATTATTTCAGGGATTGGGTAAACTAGCAACCAAGTTCCCATCTATAGCGAACACGTCGATATATTGCTTGAGAGATTTTCTTGTAACTCCTTCGCCGATATTATTCAAACTACACAAGCTGGAGTTGGAGAAAACTGGCAAAGAGCATATGAAAGTTACATGTGAGTAATTTATTATATCAATAAATTAAGTTAAAATAAAATTGCGAAACATTCACTAGTTCGCCTTTGAGATTTTTAGTGCATGATATTTAGTCAACATAAAACTAATAAAGCTTTAATATCTCTGCTTGTAAATTAGTTGCAATTAATTAAACAATCACTGTTTTAATTTTATTAATTCATTAACGGAATACTGAAACGAATTTTAAACACTACACTTTATAAGCGCAACTTACTGTCTGTTAGACATCGAAGTTTCAATGGAATTTCATCATCATCACCATCACCAGCTCACTATTTGTCCCCACCGAGGGGCTCGGAGCCTACCCCAAAGTTAGGGTGACTAGGCCATAGTCAACTACTCTGGCCCACTGCTGGTTGGTTGACTTCACAGATATCTTTGAATTTCGCCGATATGTGCAGGTTGCATCACTTTGTTTTCCTTCACTGTAAGAACGTCAGGTAAATTATGTACATATGAAAATTCGAAAAAACGAAAATCATATTGGTACATGGCGCAATTTGAACCCAATACCTGTAGATTACAAGTCAAGTGTTTAAACCACTGAGCCACCGACGCTCTTAATGTTATGTAATTATGAATATACTCTTAATGTAATGACGCTCTCAATGGAATTTGGTTTGAGCGTATTTTAAATTACATTAAAATTTCGATGTTTGTCAAATTATAAGCGGCATTTACGAAGTGTTTAGGATTCGTTTCAGTATTCCGCTTGAAGCGTAGCTCTCATGAATGCATACTATGTAGTGCAAGGCAAAGAGTTGCAAGGTACGGCGGCGCGCGGCGTGCCGGTGAAGTCGACGCCGTTCGAGAAGCTGCGCGACGCCGCCATAGAGAACCTGTGCGTGGCGCTGGAGGCCGCGCTCTCTGCCGACCCCTACTGCGTACCGGCGCTCGTCGGCTCCGTCAGTAACAGGCTCTTCACTGCTGAGACTAGTGATAGGTCAGATTTTCTTACATATTTCTTTTTTTTTTTTATAACATAAGATGGCAAACGAGCAAGCGCCCACCTGAATCCGCCAAAATGGCGAAGCGGCCGCTGGCCATAGACATCTGCAATTGCAGATGCGTTGCCTACCCTTATACGACGGAGGAGGAGACGCACACGCACGAATCCACTTCCCCTTCCCATCCTCTCATAAGGAAAGGGTGGTAAAGAGAAAGGGACTTAAATTAGGCCTCCGGCACCACACTCATCAGACGAAACACGGCATTGTTTCCATTTCACGTCTGTCTTCTGTGTGGTCGTGGTATTACACCGGGCGTGCCGGCCAATTCGTGCTAAGATGTTAAAGCGGACACTACCACTGTTAAATTTCTATGTAAAAACTGTTTTTTAGCTATCTTGTTAATGCGAAAATATGGATGGATCTTACTTAGATCGATGTTATTTGTCGTAGATTTAGAGAATATGTTAGAAAATGTAGGTTAACTATTTTTGGGAAAATATTCAGTTCTCGGCTTATAATAATTTTTATTTTATTTTCTTATATATATTGGAAATTTTGTGTATTTCAGTGAGTCTTCGTTAATAAGCACAAACATCGTGATAATGCTGGGCCACGTGTCAGTCGCGTTGAAGGACACGCCCAAGACAACGGACACCATCTTACAATTCTTCCAGCAGAGGTATGCTCACTTCTTACTTCAAAGCTTGAATACTTTATTTCATTGCACGTTTTACTCTGAAACCTATTTCTAAAGCAATAAGGTTGAATATTGAATAAATAATTTGTCTCCATAGTCCCTACTAACTGACTGTGAAATCTACATTTAGATTGTTTATGGTCACATAAACGCCCTTTAGCCCACTACCCACTCTAAACATAGCTCTTAGTGCGCAAATACATAAGGGAATAACTGAAATCGTCTTCTAAACTCCATTTACAATACATTAGTCGTCTCAGACATAATAAAATGTCGTTTCAATAATTTGCCGTAACAAATGCTTTAATAATGTTGAGGTTGTGCCGTGCCCCGTCATCCTTGGACACGCTGATAGTGGACCAGCTGGGCTGCATGGCGCTGGCCAGCCCCGAGGGTCCGGCGCACGATGAGATCATGAGGATGTTCACCGTCATCACCGTGGAGGCGGCCAGCGCTGCGTACCATCATACTGATGATAGGAAACAGTATAGGTGAGAAACTAATTCTTTATTTGCATACGAATTTAAAACCTAACTAATAATGATAAATATGTCGTTAAAGTGCTTCAAAGTTTTTTTTAATTAAATTCCTAGTACTCTAAAAAAATATATTTGTGGCTATATCTATTCTCTGGTAAATTACCCCCTATAACGCGAACATTCCCAACAAATTATTAAAGACGAACCCATCTATAACGCTATTAGTGACGCTTCTGTATTAAACGTGTTAGCTGAACCATCAACCAAGTTATAAGGAGGGTACTGTAATTGCAAATATCTTGGCGACCCAAGGTCATCGGTGCTATATGCATATTATTTCCGCATCCCACAACGTGGCGTTACAAAATTATGTGTAATAACTTGAGGGAAATCAATAATAGATTGTTGATTACTAGTAAGTTGTATTTTCCAGCAATTTTTTTTATTTATTTTAATGAAGTACATTTTTATAAATTTTTGTTTGTATACTTGGTGCCATTAAAGATGTAATGTGTGTCGTGTCGCAGACACGTGTCGGGCGCCGTGCTGAACGCGCTGGCGAACGTGGCGGCGAATGCGCGCGGCGCGGGCGCGCGGCTGGAGCTGCTGACGCGGCTGCTGGAGCTGTTCGTGCAGCTGGGGCTGGGCGGCGAGCGCGCCACCGACCGCGCGCCCGCGCCCGTGCTCAAGGCCTCCGCCAGCGCCGGCAACCTCGGCGTGCTCGTGCCGGTCATTGCGGTACGCATGCGACACTTGCTTCTTCGGAAACTTTACGAAGTTTTATAGAAGGCGATGGTGTATGTTGTATTATACTAGCTTTCGCCCGCGACTCCGTCCAAGTGGAATTAAAAAAAATGAGTAGCCTATGTATTCTTCCAGACTATCCTCTACGTCTATGCCAAATTTCATCGAAATCCGTTCAGCAATTTAGGTTACAAATTCTAAACATCCATCCATTCATCTAAACTTTCGCATTTATAATATTAGTAAGATGTATTGAAATGATGTAAAGCAGTGGTTCACAAATTTTGTGGAAAGTAACTTATCGGACGAATTTAAGGTTTAAGGTTTAAGAATATATTTATTCCCTTAATAAGAATTACAAAATTCACTTACTTAAGGAACTTATTTATCTAACATTTATATTATTATATAATGCAAGCGTACACAAAAATATAACAAAATGTGGGTAGTAAAAAAAAATAAACTATTGAATACAAACAGGTAAGTACATGTGTAAAGTATTACTAGATGCGATATGCAATATTACATTTTAAATGTTTGTTGTAATTATTAAATTGTACCTAATAGTTATATTCATATTTTAAAATATTTACATACGTACAGCACACATATACGTCTAGTTTTTTGAATTATTATATGTATACTTCATCACTTTAAATTATAGGCTTAACTGTGTTAGAAATTTATTTTGAATTCAAAACATGGAATATATATATATATTTGTATGGATGATAACATTTGTAGTTTATTAAAGGTTCTTCTTCTACGCCTTCAATCACGGTTTGCAAGACTATAATGATGTATGTTATTTAGAAAATAAGTTTTGTATTTCTATTTCTTCTGATGTATTCAAATCTGTTTGTTTTTTCTATAATGATGAAGTGGTTAGGACTTAGGATTGTCGGTTATTCCTCGCGATATAATTCTGGGTGCACCTCTAATGTACTTGATACGTAAGTCTGTTCACCTTCCTTGACTCTTCTTTTTATTTCGTCTTTAAGTTTTTTTATATTTCCTCTTTGCAGTTTTGTCTGATCCGAGTATATTTTGATATTATCAATGCCATGTTTATTTCGGTTGGTTAATACTGTTTTTACTAATTCTTCTGTCGAAAGACTTAGTTTGATTGGGCGATTTTGATTTGGATTGTATTTTCCTATGCGAAATAATTTCTCTGGATTAGGACAATCGGATATAAAGTGTTTAAGAACACTAAGGCATTTGTCCTTATCATGTTTAATTCTATCCGACACAAATTTAGATTGCACTTCAGGTATCCCTTCTATGATAATATTTTTTCTTCTTATAGCTCTTTCGTGTATTTCTGTAATTATTTCTTCTGTAGTTTTCTGTTGATCTGCTGTTTCTA